AGATGAAACTTCGAAGGGATGAGAGAATTCCTAAATGTAGTTCAGTGGGAAATGGAACTGGAAGGAAAGTCACCGAATGAGATGATGGAGTACTAGCCGGGAAGTGCCGGGAGGCAGAGAAGTTCATACCTAGAACGGTGGGAAATCTCAATAAAAAAGAATCTTGGTTCAACTATAGATGCAGAGAAAGAAAAACGAAAAGAACAAGAGCTTGAAAAATGAAAAAGCTAAAAAAAAAAAAAAAGAGAGAGAGAGTTTTAAAGTTCCTTGGCTGAAGGAAGGAGTTCAATTGGGTTGCAGTTGGCGTCTCTGGCGGAATATAATACAGTATTACTTCCAGATCCTTTCTATTTGAATCCGGGGTTAGCTCAGACGGTAGATCGTCGGACTGTAAATTTACGGACCAAAGTTCGAGCCGTTCATCCATCTTCCTTTCTTATTCAATGACAATTGCATATTGCAATTTAATTTGAGTCCATATGTGTATACGTATATGTATGTATATATAGGTTGGTAGACAGCAACCACCCAGGGAGGTACTACCGCCCTGCCAAGTGAGTGTAAAACGAAAGCCTGTAATTGTTTTGCATGATGATAGGATTGCTGGTGTCTTTTGTCTGTCTCATAAATATGCAAGATTGCAGGTACGTCTTGCTACTTCTACTTACACTTAGGTTACACTACACATACATGTACGCGTTTATTTATACACACTCATCTGAGTTTTCTTTGATTTTATCTTAATAGTTATTATTCTTATTACTTTTCCTTTTATATCCATGGGGAAGTGGAATAAAAATCTTTCCTCCGTAAGCCATGCGTGTTGTAAAAGTCAACTAAAATACCAGGAACACTGGGCTAGTAACTCCTTTTCCTGTAATAATTACTAAAAAGAATAAGAAGAAGAAAATTGTCAAAGTGGGATGTCTGAATGTGTGTGGATGTTGTGCGTATGATAAGAAAGAGATGATTGTGGATGTTATGAATGAGAAGAAGCTGGATGTCCTGGCTTTAAGTGAAACAAAGATGAAGGGGGTGGGAGAGTTTCAGTGAAAAGGAATAAATGGGATTAGGTCAAGGGTTTCAAATAGAGTTAGAGCTAAAGAAGGAGTAGCAATAATGTTGAAGGATAAGCTATGGCAGGAAAAAAGGGGACTGTATTAATTCAAGGATTATGTGGAGTAAAATAAAGGTTGGATGTGAAAAGTGGGTTATAGTAAGTGTATATGCACCCGGAGAAGAGAAAAGTGTAGAGGAGAGAGAAAGATTTTGGGAAATGTTGAGTGAATGCGTGGGGAGTTTTGAACCAAGTGTGAGAGTAATAGTGGTTGGGGATTTCAATGCTAAAGCGGGTAAAAATATTGTGGAGGGAGTAGTAGGTAAATTTGGGGTTCCAGGGGTAAATGAAAATGGGGAGCCTTTAATTGAGCTATGTGTAGAAAGAGGTAATACATATTTTATGAAAAAGAGGATAAATAAATATACAAGGTATGATATAGCAAGTAATGAAAGTAGTTTATTAGATTATGTATTGGTGGATAAAAGATTGATGGGTAGGCTCCAGGATGTGCATGTTTATAGAGGGGCAACTGATATATCGGATCATTATTTAGTTGTAGCTACAGTTAGAGTAAGAGGTAGATGGGACAAGAGGAAAATGACAACAACAAGAGGGAGGTGAAAGTGTATAAACTAAGGGAGGAGGAAGTTCGGGTGAGATATAAGCAACTGTTGGCAGAAAGGTGGGATAGTGCAAATATGAGTAGTGGGGGGGGGGGGGGGGTTGAAGAGGGTTCGAATAGTTTAAAAAATGCAGTATTAGAATGTGGGGCAGAAGTTTGTGGTTATAGGAGGGTCGGTGCAGGAGGAAACAGGAGTGAAATTTTAATGAAAATAAGAAAAAAAATTGGAGCGAGTTAAACAATGACTTTCACTTTCTCCCTCTGTTTCTTACATCTCTTGTACCTTCCTAAATTGTTCATTTCACCCCGCCTTCCTTTCTATTTCCCCCTTTTAGCGTATTATCCTTCCATTTACTCTTCATCTACATCTATTACCCCTTCTCCTCTTCCTGATTCTTAATCTTCCTTCTGAATATGTCCTTTCCCCCCTTTCTCATTACCTTTTCTTTTTGCCAGTTCTTTCCCCTCTGCTCTGCTCATTTCACTCATTATATTTTCTCCGGCTAAACCCCCTCTTCCATATCATTCCCCTACCCTTGTTCGTTACCCTTTCCCCTAAAATTTCCCCCTCTCCCATGACCATTCCTCCTTCATTGTTCATTAACCTTCGTTCTTGCCAATTTCCCCTCTCCCCTACCCATTTTCCCCTCCCCCCAAAAAGGAAACAGTTAAATGAAAGTAAAAGAATACAAGACAATGTTTCCAGCAGCATACAAAGAGTCAGGGGAAAATTAAACCAAATAAAGATCAGGAAACAACAGATGAAAATAGTGAAGAAACAAAACGAGAGGAGGATTTGAAAGAAAGGCAAGAGCATCACTCTGTGCATATAAAAAACAGACAATCACACAGAAAAATGGGAATCAACACAAAGGGCATGAACACAGTCAAATGTGTAAATATTGCAGTGAAGGAACATGTAGATATGGAAATTATCATAATTATCCACACTCCGGAAAATGCATAAATACAGAAAAGAACAAATGGCACAATACCGTGACTGGAACAATGCACATAACCCGCACTTAGGAGAGAGAAAGGCTTATGACGACCTTTCGGTCCGTCTTGTCCAGTAGCTCGATCGGTAGCGCACTCAGCTCACACTAAGATCAGGAGTTCAAATCTCCGGTACGGCTGGAAAACATTAGGGACGTGTTTCCATAAGACACCTGCTGTCCCTCTTCACCCATCAGTATAAAATGGGTACCTGGGTGTTAGTCGACTGGTGTGGGTCGCATCCTGGGACAAAACTGACCTAATTTGCCCGAAATGCTCAGCATAACAAGCGACTTCCTATATAGTAGTATGTCATTGACGTGAGCTAGGACTGTATACCTTGTGCTTTTAAAAATAAAGATATTATTATTATTATTATTATTATCATTATTATTATTATTATTATTATTATTATTATTATTATTATTATTATTATTATTATTATTATTATTATTATTATTTATAAGTCTCACTGACAGAAGGGAGTGAGTGACCCAGTACATATAAGCGATGAGCACAGGGACGGGGGAAAGAGAGGAACAAGTGGAAGTAGTTGTAGAAGTAACAGTGGTAGTGTAAAGTTGGGGGAGTAGTTTATGCGTGAAATTACCATTTTGGGGGAATATGTGAATACTCTTATCTTGATTTGTGTAAAAGTCTTACTGTGAAAAGAAAGTGTTATGTCCTACACTGCCATTGTTCCAAGGGAGAGAGAGGTACTGGACAATTCCAACACTAAAATCTTTTAGGCATAGAGATGTACGAAGAAGAAAAAGGAAAACAACAGAAAAGTGCTTGAAACATATACATAAATTATAGATCAGCAGGTGACGTAGCAAGAATATTATGTTTAAGAAGAAACAAAATATATCACCAGAAAAAAAAACTGCATTACTTCCTCCCCATTAATGTAAATGCCAACCATAGTGGATGCAACAACAGTACTCATATCAATTACCTTACAAGAAGATGGAGCTGTACAGGGCAGCAGAAGACCTAGCACCCCAGCAGGGGTTGAAGCAGGACTGAACCCGCCAATAATATCAGCATTACTAAAAGCGCAAATTAAATATCCTGTGCAAAACAATGCCAATAAACAATGATTTCAAAAATAAGAAGAGAGTGCCTTACAGAGCTTCCTCACAGAAACCAATGGTATGATTGAAGTTTTACAGAAACTCTCAGAGTGTTCTTGAACAACGAAATATGGATCACGTGATATAATGTGCATAGATATGATAGAGTAAATAATGAACAGGGAGGAGTAAATTTCTGTCAAATACTTACTAACTTTCACAAAACTGTGAAGATCATCAAAAACAAAAAAAAAAAGTGTGGAAGTGTTTCTAATAAAAATGGAAAACAAAAGATTGTTAGTTATTCTCACATTCAAACCACCATCGGCAACAGCAGATTAATTTACTGAACAGACAAGGAAGGTAAACAGCTGTATAGAAAACCCTGAAAATCCTACACCGAATATTTTCCTCTTCGGAGGTTTCAGTCTCTCAGATGCAAAATGGAAGATGACAGACAAGGTCGTCATACCTGTTCGTAATATAACCAAAGGACACACCGGAAACTTTTAAGACTGTAAAAAGTTTGTACTGAAACAGCAAATAACAAAACTAAATTGAAATGAAAATGCACATTTGATCCTCATGAACAATGAGGAATTATTCATCCATATAAGTCATAACACAATACACTGAGTCTTAGCACAATACACTGAGTCTCAGCACAATACACTGATCATAACCTCACAAAGGAGCAAAGAAGCATAAATTCGTGTGTAGATAAGTAATAAATAAATCAATGAAGGGGGATGTTTACCAAATTTACTTTCTTTAGCATGCCAAGAGTGTTACATTTTATTCAGCGAATGTCACACTCCCATATAGGCTGCCTCCCAACCAGCGAAGCAGGTGCTAAGGGTTTAATGATCAATAGGGTACCCGTCGTTAAATCAGTACCTTGGTTCACTGGCCAGTCACAGACAATCCCGTCAAAGTTGAAGCAACGTGGTTCACTTGTGGCGAGCGAACTGACAGATTTGTCTGAGCTGCTGGTTGATATGGTGCTCTCTCTCTGGCTTCTGCTGTTGCCATCTTTTGTCACATTATAGTACACTTGCTATTCAACTTCTGTACATAGTGTATATACGTGTGCATACTTGTATATATTTTGAAAATTATGTCTGGTGAAGGAAATACAAGTCGTATACTATTGCTGAATTTGTTTGCTGCATTTGGAAGTTCCATTAAAACCAATTAGCAGGCCATACTATATCTGTTCGTAATATTTTCAATTATATATTATCAGATAATAAAAAAGTACAAGATTCATGCACCAATTACGTCAAATAATTTAAATGATATCCTGAATGAACAGTTTGATGGATCAGTAGTGTTCGGCAGTCACATCGATGCCGTGAGAGTTAACAACCCATGTAGTCTTTTTATTATCGCTGCTCACCATAAAATTGATGTATTTGACAATAGCTCAGCTTCTACAGATTCCGATAAAGAAATGAACAACATATCTACGCATGTACCACCTGAACTTGGTTCCCGGAAAGAGGTATATTTAAAGAAACGGAAAATACCACAAGCACAAATACTCAGTGTTCTTTGGGGAAGTAGGTTATATCCCAGAGACCTCACAAAAGTACAGGCAAACCATTTTCACAAAGGGATCAACAAACATTAATATCAAGTGACACACCAGCACCACCGACTCTGAATGTCATACGTCTTTAAAATGATAGTTCTAACATACCAACTTACCGATTTAATGGATAAGCATTAAGTCTTCTGAGCCAAAATGGATTTAGAGCAAGAAAATCATGCCTGCAGTAACTATGAATTAATTATGACAAAATCATCGAGGCTCCGGAATGAAATAAAACGCAGTTGGGGTCTAAGTTTTCACTGCATAGACGTGACAATTGCGAAACTTGGAGATATAACTCATAAAATCAGTTTAATAGATAAAGCAGGAAAAGTGGGGAAATGAATATTTTATTTTTTAACAGCTCAGAGTGGCAATAAACAAAACAAAAATTCAGTTTTAGCAAAGCATAAAGTTTAGTTTCCTCCATGACAGGGTTTTGGGCCCTTTGTTTTTTCTCGTCCTTGAAGCAGACATTGTTAAAACACCAATCACAACTCCAGACATTGTTAAAACACCAATCACAACTCCAGATACCAAAATGTAAGATGCCAAAATGAACATGAAAATCGTCTTGGAATAAGTTACAGAAAAATTGTAAATATCAAAAAAGTTAATCAGTGCGCAATGGAACATAGAAAGATGTTCCGTTGTCACAAATTACAAAACACATTATATTATATAGTATAATAATAATAATAATAATAATAATAATAATAATAATAATAATAATAATAATAATAATAATTTAAAATACGAGCCTGCACACTCTCACACCTTATACATTGTTCTGTGCTCTCAGCTTCTTCCAGGCACCATGAATAGTGCTGGAAAATGCACTAAGATAGTTTACTGCCTACATAGAGTCAGTAAAGCATTTAAACTACCGGGAACGTCTCTAAGCTCTTGAAATGCACTCTCTGGAATGGAGAAGAGATAACTGATAAAAAAGAACGTGGAAATTGCCTGAGGTCCCAAACCTCCACGCAGCGTGTACCCTCTTCTGCGTGTCCCGTCCTCCCTGTACTTGACCATGTCCTCATCGCCCTACCAAATACTCAAGCTGACAAATTTCAACACATTATATGAGCTCCTTCCAGCTAGATGGAATATGACATGGATAGCTACCCTCCCCCTTATCTCCTTTCTATTGTATTGATAAAGCCACTGCATGACGAAACGTCTACAGATGAAGATACCCAGTTGTGGTACATGTGTCTAATTCTTCATTTAGACGGTATTAAATAGCATTTATGTACAACTGTCACATAGAATAGACAAGCAGCATACAGCTGATATATCAAATCTGGCGAAATAAAAAATAAGAAAAAAAACTCACTAATTCCCCTGCTAATGCCCATTCCTCTTCCCCTCACCGCACATTTCCCCTTCCTCTACCCCTCTTTCCCTTCCTCCCCTCACCCACCACGGTCCATAAATCCATCCTCCAAATCATTAAAATTGCCACCAAAGGCAGATTTAAATCACCACTTGAAAAAATAGGTCTTGGTTATCGCCGCTCACAACTAATTTATGCAGGACCCACAATTTTTCATTTTCAATTTTTCCCGCGTAATTAATAGCGAAATAAAAAGGAGATGAAGTTTAAATAACATATATATGAAAATAATGAGACTCCAGGGGATATAGACAAGATATGGGAGTACAAATGAGGACATGGGAGTAGAAAAGAGGACATGGGTGTACAAAGGAGGACGTGCGAGTACAAAGGAGGACGTGCGAGTACAAAGGTGGACGTGCGAGTACAAAGGAGGACGTGCAAGTACAAAGGAGGACGTGCGAGTACAAAGGATGACGTGCGAGTGCAAAAGAGGACATGCGAGTACAGAGGAAGACATGTGAGCTCATAACAACGTGGAAGTGCATGTGAGAAATAGGAGGACATGATAGTGCATGGGAATTCATACGCGTAAGCAGGAGTATCAGAGCACATTTGGAGAGCATAGGAGTACGTAATGGTATATGGGAGTACATTAAAATCATTTTAGTACGTGAGAGTACATACAGCAAGATTACAACATCTGACATGACAACAGGACAGGTCAATACACAAGAGTCCATGAGAATATATGGGAGTACATAAGAATACCTGGATGTATACAGGAGTACTAAAGCGTATAGGAGTACATAGAAGTACATAAGAGTACACAGCAGTGCGAAGACTACATCATAGGAGTACATAACAGTACACTACGGTAAGTAAGAGTGTATGAGACCGAGCACCTCGCACAGAACTTGACTTTAAGATTACAGAACCTTTAAAAGTGTTTAGCCAAACAGTGGATAAAGTTGTTTGTGCGTTTTGCGTGTCCTGGGAATTTTGAGCAACACAATAATAATAATAATAATAATAATAATAATAATAATAATAATAATAATAATAATAATAATAACAATACATACATACATTATATATATATATATATATATATATATATATATATATATATATATATATATATATATATATATATATATATATATATATATATTATATATATATATATATATATATATATATATATATATATATATATATGTCGTGCCGAATAGGCAGAACTTGCGATCTTGGCTTAAATAGCAACGCTCATCTTGCCATATAGGACAAGTGAAAATTTGTGTATGCAATAATTTCGCCAAAATCATTCTGAACCTAACGAAAAAAAATATATTTCACTGTGTTTGTTTATTATTAAATTATTGTAAACAAATCTAAAATATATTTAGTTGGGTTAGGCTAAAATAAATTGTTCTTGTTATAATAAGGTTAGGTAAGTTTTCTAAGATTCTTTTGGTGCAAAATTAAAAATTTTTACATTAACATTAATGAAAAAAATATATCTTTAAACGTATAAGAGAAAATTTTAGAAAGGACTTAATTTTAAATGAGTTCTTGCTAATTGACCAGTTTTACATATTCGGCACGACATATATATATATATATATATATATATATATATATATATATATATATATATATAATATATATCATGCCGAATAGATCAAACTTGCGCTTTTGGCTTAAACAGAAACGCTCTTCTTGCCGAATAAGGCAAGTGAAAATTTATGTGTGCACTAATTATGCAAAAATCGTTTTGAACCTAACGATAAAAATATATTTCATTCTGTTTGTTTATTATTAAATTATTGTCAGCTAATGAAAAATGTATATAGTTAGATTAAATTGCGCTTGTTATAATATATTTAGGTAAATTTCCTAAGGCTTTTTTGGTACAAAATTATTAATTTTTACATTAACATAAATGACAAAAAAAAAAAGGTCTTTAAACGTAAAGAGAAAATTTTAGAAATTACTTAATTTCATATGAGTTCTTCCTAATCGACCAGTTTTACCTATTCAGCATGACGTATATGTTTTAATTTCGTAGAACAGGCGAAACATACACAAACACTAATCTAATGTCGAAGGAGACTCGAGCCTACGAACCTTGGAACATGGTACATATTGCTCTACTCACTGTACCACACTGGTCCAATATCTTGGTGCCTGGCTAACGCTAGACGTTATGGTCAAAGGCAGTAAGCCTTAAGGCAGGTGGTTTTAACCTTTTCATCTCATCCCCTGCAAGCATCGACCGACGAGAGATTTTTAAAATGTGAAGAATTCGTAGAACAGGCAAATATTCACAAACACTAATCTCAGGTCGAAGAAGACTCAAACCTACTAACCTTGCAACAAGGTACGGCGTACCAGTACATAGATACATACATACATACACACATACATACATACATACATACATACATACATATATAGATAAATAAATAGATATAGATGTATATATGTCTTGCCAAATAGGTAACACTTGTCAGTTAGCAAGAATTAATTTTAAATTAAGACCTTTCTAAAATTTTCTCTTATACGTCTTAAGATATATTTTTTCATATAAGTTAATGTAATAATTAATAATTTTGTACAAAAAGAACCTTAGAAAACTTACCTACCCTTATTAAAACATGCGCAATTTAAATTATAACTAAGCTCAATTTAATTTAGCCTAATCCAGCTAAATATATTTTAGATAAGTTCAAAATAAATTAATAATAAACAAACACAATGAAATATATTTTTATCGTTAGGTTCAGAATGAGTTTTGCGAAATTATTGCATACACAAATTTTCGCTTGCCTTATTCGGCAAGAAGAGCGTTGCTATTTAAGAACATAAGAACATAAGAAAGAAGGAACACTGCAGCAGGCCTACTGGCCCATGCGAGGCAGGTCCAAGTTTCCTACCAGCTAAAGCCAATACACCCAACGTAGTCAGGTCAGGTCACATTCACTTAAGGAAGGAACACGGCAACTGACCCAGTAGCATAAGCTAATCAGGTCCAACTCACACCCACCCACACCCAATCATGTATTTATCTAACCTATTTTTAAAACTACACAACGTTTTAGCCTCTATAACTGTACTCGGGAGTTTGTTCCATTCATCCACAACTCTATTACCAAACCAATGCTTTCCTATATCCTTCCTGAATCTGAATTTTTCCATCATAAAACCATTGCTGCGAGTACTGTCTAGTCTAGATATTTTCAGCACGCTGTTTACATCCCCTTTATTTATTCCTGTCTTTCATTTATACACCTCAATCATATCCCCCCTAATTCGACGCATTTCTAGAGAGTGCAGATTCAGGACCCTCAGTTTATCCTCATAGGGAAGGATTCTGATACATGGGATCATCTTTGTCATCCTCCTCTGTACGTTTTGCAGAGCATTTATACCCATTCTGTAATACGGTGACCAGAACTGTGCAGCATAATCTAAATGAGGCCTAACCAAGGATATATAGAGTTGAAGAACAACGTGAGGACTCCTATTATTTATGCTTCTTGATATGAAGCCAAGGATTCTGTTAGCTTTATTGCGAACACTAATGCATTGTTGTCTTGGTTTCAAATTACTGCTAACCAGAACTC